GAAGAGATACAAATAGTTTGTCTTTAACAAAAAAAAAAACTCAGAGAAACTCGGAAAATACATTTAGCCTATAAGTATATAGCGTAAGCGCAACAAATTCCTGACGTTCTTTTCCATTTTGTTTCGTTAAACCTGATCAAAATCTGAACTATTTGAATTAAACAGTGCAAACGTAACATTACCCTGACTTTTTCCATGAGTAACCCAATTCAACCTGCACTCGCTTCACAATGTCCATTATTTGCTGCTTGAATATTTTCTCCGTGTACAACATAATAGAGGGGGTGACATGATACGTTAAACTACTGACTTATGAAATCCAATGCAAAATAAGAACTTTTGTAGTTCCAGAAAGAAGTAAACTGGTCAAAGACCTTTTTAATTTCTGCCAGCTGAACCCTGTTCCACGGGGCTTGTATTAGTAAGCCAAAGAAGAAAAAATGGGCTCTCACACAGACTCTGAAGTGTTCAGTTACCATTATTACAAAACGCGATGAAAAAGTGAGAAGAGATGTTGTTTGAGATTTCACACCATCACATTTGGACAGAAGTCAGGCCAGCGGGTCGTACAAAAGGGCGCCTTTTCAGCAAGCGTCTCGGAGCAGCTGGAGGGGAAAACGGCCTCTAACACAATAACGGAGGGAGGGTGGCGAAAACAGGGCGCCATTTCAGGGCTCAAACGCAAGCCACATACCAAGCGAGCGCATCTTCCCCAAGCATGACGTGCATGTCCATATTTTATTAATGGCAACTCAAGCTATTTTTTGCTATTAGCTTTGGAGTAATAAAGTATTTTCTAATAAATCATACAATGGAAGTATGCAGAATGACACAGAACTCTTAACCCAATTGTTTTTTTTTCTGATGTCTATTATATAGTAATATAGAGGTATGATATTCCTCACAGATGTTGTTCAAGTTCCAGACAAATGAAACATGCAAGGAACAAATAATGCAGAAGTACTATTAATAAATACTGATACCAACCTAAAGTGATTTCAAAACTACTTTTACTATTTTGACCCTTACAATGTCTTACAACTTCCACCTACTCTGGTACTGGCTTCATGGTATCCAGATCCGAACAGGTCAAACAGAAGGCAGGCATTTATGTTTTGTACTCATCTGGTTTTCCTTAAACAGGCACCGACTCTGTATCCTTCCGTTGGTCACAAAATCCTTCTGTGGATTTTGTGATCAGGTATGGAATAGGGCGACGGTCACGCACGGCCTGAAACCACCACAGCATCTCAGCTCCGACAAACCAAGGTTTTATAACCTGCCACCAGTCTGACTGTAGAAGGCAGGTAGAGCTGACGCCTGCAAGCCCATCACTGCACAGGCAGAACGCCGCACACAGCTACTAATGCTAATGTAACGCGGTTCTGAGCTAACAGAGGGCCAGTCGAAGCTAACACCAAATTCTTATTCCACGCCAAACTGAGATCATTTACGGTTCAATTTTGCAAACTTCAAAAAGATTTGGAAGTACAACCTTAAGGCACTTTGGGAAACCGGGATTTTCCATCCCATGAAACTGACATTTATGTGTTATTTAGTGGAGGACAACGCTTTAAAAGTCTAAAGAAATCAGTCGGTAGCTGTTTTCCAGCTTACCGATCTTGCACATTAGTGGGTTTTACCTGGTAGGAGTTCAAACAAAAATACAAAGGAATCAGCCTCAGTGGAGACGTGAATCATTTTGGTGAGATAAACCGTCACAGTACTTATCACGAAGTGTTTTTACGTTCACAGCATCAGCATGAAAGATACAGCGAAGTTACAGCCCCTTGGCCATAATTACTCACGTGTTCTTATGCCTGTAAGATTTTTGGTGACCCATTATTATTAGGACACTTTCACCACAGGACTGCCCTCTAGGGACTAAAACTAATATTGCAGCCTCCAAATTACTTGCATAAATCCGTAGTGCAATTCGCTAATTCTCTAATGACAGCATACCTGTAATGATTCTCATTCAATGACTTACTTCTCTCATTCGATGACTTACTTGCCTGAGACTGGGGTAGAGATCAATTATAATACAGCCCCAAAAGATCACGCATTGTAACCAGGCTCGCGTGACTGTTGTGAATAGCAGATAACCAAAATATTGCCACCTTGTTTCCGAAGAGTTAAGCTGTACAGTGCAGCCATAATCTCCCAGCATTTAAGTTTTAAACGAATTATAAGCTCACCTGACTGAAATACACAGTGTTTTTTTCCACACAACAATATAAACATATATTATATACACTCACCTAAAGGATTATTAGGAACTAATACGGTGTTTGACCCCCTTTCGCCTTCAGAACTGCCTTAATTCTACGTGGCATTGATTCAACAAGGTGCTGAAAGCATTCTTTAGAAAT